GCCTTCAGGGTACTTCTTCAAATTTGCCATACTGTATGTGTCCACTTGGAGTCAAGGATGAACCAATTAGATTTTGGTGGTCAAAGGTCAGTGTTTACTCACATCCATCCTATACCTGTGAATATGGCTGGTTGGCAGAAGCATACAACTATGAAGCAGTAATTATAGCTCTAATTTCTTCATTGTAAACACATACATTTGTCTTCAAATACTACATGAAAATAATTTAATCATGGATGTATTCTATATGTCATAATTTAGTTAAGTTTGGAGAAATATGGGGCAGCACAGTGGCGCAGTGGTTATCACCGTTGCCTCACAGCGAGAAGGTTCCGGGTTCGGGCCCCACCCGGGGCCTTTCTGTGTGGAGTTTGCATGTTCTACCCGTGCTTGCGTGGGTTCTCTCCGGGTACTCCAGCTTCCTCCCACAGTCCAAAGACATGCAGCTTAGGTTGACTGGTGTCTCTAAATTGCCCATAGGAGTGTGTGTGGTTGTTTGTCTATGTGTTAGCCCTGCAATGGATTGGTGACCTGTCCAGGGTTTACTTCGCCTGATTGCCGGCCGGGATTGCCCCCATGACCCTGTTAAGGAACCAAGCAGATTCATAAAGTCCCAGCCCATGCATTAATTTTTCATTCAAGTTGAAACACTCCTAACTTGGACATCCCAATTACCTTAGACATGTAAATTCTTGCTACCCTGGGTAAATTTGCATCTAATTACTTGTCTAATTTCAACTGACTTTGTATGACCCCTACAATTTGATTTGTATTCTGTCAGAAAACAATGAAAAGGACAAGTTACAGTTTTATGGGGTGGTTATGCATCTGACTTTTCCTGGTTGGGAACAGTTGACACGTGGACACTCCAGGAAGTCTTCATAAGACCAAAAACGGTCACGTGGCTAACAGGGAGGTTATGCATTTGATGAAGAACTGTTATTTTTATATTTTAGCTTTTGTATGGATTATACAAATGTTTAAAAAATTCAGTATTCCTTTAACAAACAACACACAGGAGTCCCAAAGCCACACACATACAGTATGTATATATACTGTATATGCAACAGCTGTAATTTGCATATGATATATTCAATTAGCCTCGCTGAACGTCTCAAGAGGACTTTTCTTGTAAGGAAAATTTCAAATATCAAAAGAAAAACTAAGTATAATATACTAAATATTTATAATATGACAGAAGTTCCTCGGAATCTGCCAAATGTCATGATAAATTCCAGCAGAATATATTCATGACTTCGGGCTAAACTGCT